TGTTATCATTTCCTTTGTTGCTGTTTTTTAATATTTGCTGAATTTTTGTGCTTGTCCTCTTCTTTATTGTGATGTGAAGGTTTATCATTTTTTTTGAGGGTATCCTGTGATTTATAATTTTCTCACCGAGTTTAGAATAGTCCGGTCTATTCTGCAACTCTCTTGACTTCCTCACCATGTAGAAGTTCTGTAACTACACAGTATTTTCCCTCTTTTTTGTTTGTAGTTGTCCTCACTTGCCAATTGATGTCTCTGGTTCCCTGTTTACAATTTTGTAAGCTTATTTTACTTTGGGTATGTCCATAGCTATGGTTTCTGGATTAGGTCATTTTATATATTAAAGATCGGTTATTGTTTGCTGTTTTTGTTTTTCTGTTCAGAGGACTCCCTTTAGTATCTCCTGTAAGGTTGGCCTGGTTCTAACAAATTCCCTTTGTTTCTGCTTATCTGGTAATTTCCTAATTTCACCATCATATTTGAGGGACAGTTTTGCAAGGTATATAATTCTTGATTGAAAATTTTTCTCTTTCAGGGTTTTATATATACCATACCATAGAATGCATCACTTTTTCTGTGGTCTTCCTTATTCATTGTCCAGCTTTCTTGTGCATATGAGACTATTGAAAATACCATGTGTCAGGTCAGGTGCACCTTAGTCTTCACAGTGAGACCTTTGCTCTCTGACATACTAAAGAGATCTTTTGCAGCAGATATGCCCAAGGCAATAGATTGTTTGATTTCTTGACTGCTGCTTCCATGCATATTGATTGTAGATCCAAGTCAAATGAAATCCTTGACTTCAGTCTTTTCTCCATCTATCATGATGTTGCTCTCTCCATAAGTACTTAAGTCTTCTTCACTTTCAGCAAGCAAGGTTGTGTCATCTGCATATTGCAGGGTGTTAATGAGTCTTCCAATCCTACTTATAATTAGAAAAACAGTGCTGTGTAGACTAGCTGTTACTTTATTTACTGAGAGTGTCCTGTGCTCATTTCCAGGAACAGTGAAACCAGACAGGCAGGGTCATAGTCCTCCTGGAATTTATATTTCTCTGAATGAGAGAGACAGTAAACTACTCTACCAGTAACTAGAAAGAATAAACACAGATTTGGATGAGTGCTGTGCAGAGGACGATGTGACAGGGAATAGCAGGGGGACCTAATTTAGGGTGACTGATGAGGAAAGGCCTCTCTGACAAGGTGACAGCCCTGCAAAGAGCCAGAGCTCATCTCACACATAATAAATCCAAAGGCCCTGGGGTAGAAGTGAGCTTGATTTGTTCTTGCAACGTGATGGAAGGCCTGCGAGTACCGAGCTTTTTCGGGTCACCTTAAGTATTAGATTGAATCATACTCTTTTGGGAGGTCGCAGGTGGTCAGCTATCAGCCATTTCTTACAGTTCAGCCTGAACTGTGTTCCAGCAGTTCTGCCACTGACCTCTGGTGACTCCAGCTGTTTGAGCTGCACTTGCCTCACCTATAAAGTGAGGTCCTTGATGAATTAGCTTATATCCCTTCTGTCCTAGACATTGGATGATTCCACTCAGGGAGGTTCACTTGGGTGAGGCAAGTGAGGTGCCGAGGACCCAGAATTTAAGAGGCCCTCCCCCTTCCTTGTATGGCCCTGACAGTGAGCGGCTCCTTACCTTCCATTCCCTAGGCTTGCCTCCCCCGATCCTGATCCTTTTTGGAACTTCTTTTGCTGTATACATTTAAAGATTAACTCACTGCTGTGTAACCTTCTCCATGCGAATGATGCTCAGTGCATTAATTTAGGAAGCCATGGCATGCACTAATTATTGAGAGTATGTGTTGTGCTCTGTGCTTGTGTTTCATACTTAATGTCTCCGTGCCTGAGTTAATCCCTTATCTCAGTTAGAACTTGTGAGTACAAGCTTACATATATCCACATTGCTCCTGGCGAATTCTTTCTCTTGGTTGCAGTGGAAAGCCTGGCAGCAGTAACGTTTTATGTTGTTCTGCTTCAGATCAGGCCAAAGTGTTTGTGAAGGTCTTCACTGACGTTGACCGGATGCCCCAACTTCTCGCATACTACTATAAGTGTCACAAGGTAAGAGGCTGTGGTGATTCTGTTGTGGCAACACCTGTAATACTGGACTGAAGAATTTCACCTTCCTGGTCAAAGATAAGGTACTTGCCTCCTCACCCTTTGACCCTTTTTCTTTGACCTGGCCAGTAGGGGATGCTGTTGGTCAAGGCTGTGGATTCGTTCCTTTGGCATCTGGGAAAAAAATCATCAGTTTTCAGTCCCTTGTTTCGAGACATGGATTTAACTTACAAACTTGATAAGTTGTTTTAGTTTTTCTCATTTTTTGGTTTTTGAGGGAGATCTATATGTCTTAAGCTTTATTATGCCCTCAGCAAGCCATAAGAATTTTATGATTTCTTGGTTGTTAAATTTAAGTTACTGAACACCTTCAAAGTCCCCTGGGGTAACCTTAATTCTTCAAGCCCAATGCTCATGTGTCTGTAAGCAATAGTGTCTGGACATGAAGCTTGAACACACCCTCAATGTCTTCCTCTAAGATCCAAGGTCTGTTCAGAAGAGGGGTAGTGTGCTGACTGGCAGGAAGCCCATTGGCCTACTTTTGGGACAGGATAAGAGGAGAGAGGTTGGAAGGTGCAAATTCAAGCTTTGGATGATGATCAGAGCAGGTGACTGTAAATGGCTTTAGATGTCTTTCCCACCTTTTTCCAGAATGAGCAGACATCCCTGGTTCTCACTGGCCTTGGTCGAGGGGTGGGCTGTTTCAGCAGGCGCACCTGAGAAGTTCCCCTTTGTTCTGCCCCCGCAGGTACGGCTCTTAGCAGCCTGGCAAGAGTTGTGTCAGAGTGACCTCCCCCTGGACCGGCAGCTCACCGGACTCTATGACGCCTTGCTTGGTGCTTGGCACACACAGATCCAGTGGGCTACGCAGGTAACGGCTCATTTGGTTTCTAGAGAGAACAAAGCCTGTGTGACAAGGGAATGGGTGACTGCTCTGGAACGGTCTCTTAACTGCAGAGCACCTCGAAGAACCTCCCCACTTGCCGCTGTCCTCGAACAGTTACAAGATAAACCTTGAAACCCACGTCAGGAAAAATCATTAGGTCTCCATTAAAACCCTTCTTATCGCCTTTATCTGTATCTTAAATAGGATCTAGTGTATCAGTGTTGCTTGTTGTTCAGCAAGTGAGCCCGGGGAATTCCTGAGGCCGTTATCTTCAGATCGAAAAGCAAGAGGCCCTCTGTCAGGTGGTGTTGGAGTGAACAAGATTGTTTGGGATCTGAGCTTCAGGTAAAATTCATCCAGCCTGAAGTTAGTTTCCGATGTTCCTCTGACTCGGGGAAGGAGCTCTGGTGGCTCAGTGGTTAAGGCATTGCATTGCTAACCAGCAGGTCTGCCATTTGAGCCCACCAGCTGCTCCAAGGGAGAAAGATGGGGCAGTCTGCTTCTGTAAAGATTTACAGCCTTGTAACTGTAACTTGAACTGGCCCTGCGGGGCAGTTCTGCTCTGTCCTATAGGATCGCTGTGGGTCGGAATCGAATGATGGCAGTGGGTTAGGTTTGGTTTTTTTGACGAAGGGAGAGGAGAGGCAGGAACTTTGTCAGTTGGAAGCCTAAGCCATCCTCACTTTCCCAAAGCCTTCAGGTATTTTCAGCCATGAAGAGTGGGAACCACTGCTCTCTTGCCATGATGCCAGGAGGTGTCGTAGTGATTTTATTTGGAGTAATGACTTATTGGGCCTGTGTAGGGTGTGACTTTTTATTTTTTTTTCACTATTAGTTCACTCTTCAGATGTGTGTCAGTCATTTACCGGAATGAACTCTACTGCAGTAGAGAATTCCTTGTTCAGGGTGATACCATTCCGATTGGTTAAAGCTCTCCTTTTCTGCATCCTTGCTTCCTTCTCCTTGAACCAACCTGGTTCGGACTTATGTTCAAACAAACAACAAAGCCCTTGCAGAAGTTTCCCAGCTTTGATGTGGTCATTAGGTCCCAATGACCCTGTCCATCCACGCTCATTCAGGTGCCCTCCTTCTGCAGCACGAGGATAGAAACCACTCATGGCCATGAGTACCCCTGCCCTTCATCATCTATGAAAATGGACTTAGACTTCTTAGACTTCTAGCTCGTCTCATCCTACATTTTGTGGACTTAGGCTAATTTATAGCTTTGGATCATGGCCCATTTTCTTTTCAGGATGTTAAACATGATACATAGGCTTTTGTGTCTTAAACCCAGTATAGTACAGAAGAAGACCAAAGGTGCCAAATGTGTCCCTTTCAGGTTTTTTATTGTTGAGTAGTGGTTAAGGCACTTGGCTGGTAACTGAAAGGTTGGTAGTTCGAACTCACCAGCCACTCTGCAAAAGAAAGACGAGGCACTCAGCTTCCGTAAAGATTTACAGCCTTAGAAACCTGGCGGGGGGGGGGGGTGGGGGTGGTCACTGTGAGTCAGAATTGACTTGATGGCAGTGAGTTTGGTTTTTCTGGTTTATTTTGTTATGGACATCTTCCAACATATAAAAATTGGAAAGTATTATGTAGTGAACATCAGTGCACCCACTTCCTAGGTTCTCCAATGAACATTTTGCTGCTTCTGCATTTTACAAATCTAGTTCCTGAATGGCACAGACAGTTAAGCACTTGACTATTGGCTGAAAGGTTGGTGGTTTGAACCCACCCAGAGGCACCTTGGAAGACAGGTCTGGTGACCTGCCTCTGAAAGGTCACAGCTTTGAAAACTCTATGGAATCGTTTTGTGCACACACGGGGGCACCAGGAGTTGGACTCGATAGCAACAGACTGCAGCATCCATCGAGCCACGCATCTGTCTGTTCACTGTCTGTTCACTAATCCATCATATTTTTTTTATCCTCATCCAAGTAAGTTGCAAGCTTCATTCACTTCACACTGTATGTACTGCTCATTCAAGTTCAATATTTATTTCCATTTTTTTGGGTAAAATTCACATAGAGTGAAATATGGAGATCTTAAATATTCTATTTGATTCATGTTGACAGATCAGATACCTGGGTAACCTATCAAGACATAGAACATAACCGTCACCCTGGAGGGTTCCCTCAGACGCCCTCCCAGGCATTCCCTGCCCCGATCCATGAAGGCAACCACTATTCTGATTTTTTCCACCATCAGTTTAGCTTCTTCTGGAATTTCTTATAAATGGAACCACACAGTTAACGTTCTTTTGGCAAGACCTCTTTCACTCGTTATATTTTTGAGATTTGTTGATACTGCTGTGTGTATCAATGGTTTGATCTCTCTCATTGCTGAAGACTAGATGGCACACGACATCAACAGTAGTCACGTTGTATGACTACACCACAGTTTATTTGTTCTCTTATTGATGGACACTTGGGCCATTTCCAGTCTTGGGCTGTTATGAATAAAGCAGCTCTGAGCCTTCCTGTTAAATCCTTCTGTGGACACTTGTTTTCATGTCTCTTGGGTAAATATCTAGGAGAGGACTTGCTGGGTCATAGGGTAGGTGTGGTGTGTGTTTAGTTTTATATAAAAAAAGTGCCAGATCTCCAAAGTGGTTGGACGTTTCACACTCCCACAACAGTGCATGGAAATTCTGATCACTCCATAT